TTTTTTTTTGTAAGGGGCTTCCTTCTCTGGTTTAGACTAAAATGACTGAAACATTTAAAGTATGCACAGATTCACACAGGCTTTTAACACTAAACTACTATACAGGGCTCTTCTTAGGCTTTTGGCATTGCCGATTCTGTTCTTCATGTTGATGAGTTCCTTCTGGCTCCAACTGTAATTTGAACAAATGACAGAATGGCTGAAAAGAAGACTGGACGCCCTTTTTTACATGTGCGATCCATGTCACAGGAAAACCTTCACACAGAGTGAAATATACACCCATCACTTCACAACACCTACTTGTTGGCAGCTGTAGATTTTGTATTTCAACTTACTTACTGTTACCTGCGCTTTATGTATCCTGTGTGTTCATGTGTGTTTGCTTCTGCAGGCTATCTGGCGCGCTACAGCAGTGGAAGGTGGTGTGCAGCTGAGTCTTACCAGTCCAGATGGAGACCAGGGTTATCCTGGTGAAGTTCAGGTCTCTGTCTCCTACACGCTGCAGGTAGACACATCTGGTTATGAATTCATACTACTGCATCCCAAATGTCCTTTTGGCAGAGCTAATTCGACGTCGCTGTTTAGTGATACTCAGGCATTTGTTTTGCCAGCACAGAGTCTCCAATTACATGTAACTGGTTTTATGTGAATATGCGGCATAAAGATATTGAGTTTGAACTTGTTTATCAGGGGGAAGAACTGACTGTTGAATACCAAGCACAGGCTAACAAAACTACCCCCATCAACCTCACCAACCATTCCTACTTCAACCTGGCCGGACAGGTAAGTGACCACGGACACGTTTCTGGGTGCCTCTGCACAGTGGTGTTTGTGTGGTTCAGTGTGTGGCGCTCTAATCATTTCAAACTTTTACGTAGCTACTTATTTCATACTTTAACCTAAACACGATTTATCCCTGTCTACTGAATCATATCCTTAAACAGAAGCCCACAGCCCTCCAAGATCTTACACTCTTCAGTGGGTTTGTCTGTGAACGTGCAGCATTTGTGTGACGGGTGTAGTTTCCCATGAATGGGACATATTTTGTCGCAATCATCACATTTGTAATCAGAAGAGTGTCAGTCTGTAAAACACAGGTATCCTCCAGAGCTAGTTCTGTGTGTGTTTGACTGCCATCCTAACTATTCAGTCCTCGCAGAGTCTGTCTGACTGATGAAGTTGAAGCCTGGGTAGTTGGCAGTGCTGTTTCCTGGCTAACAAAACAAGATTTTGCCCACTAGGAAGTAGAGCAGGGCGATATGACCAA